CAAGAAGATAAAACCCTAAATTTTATGATGCCAACTTTGTTATCATTATTTACAAAAAAAGAGAAGCCAATTCTTTTGCTATTTTCTTTCTTCCAACTCTTTTCTCTAGCCAGTTCCAAATTTTCCATCATTTGATATTTTTTTTTGTTTTGACCCCAACATATTCTGCAATCACTAGCACAGAGAATACTTGATATCTTTGAAAGGCCCATAGCAAAATTGGCTTGATTTCAAAACTTTTGGCTTATCGCTACTCTCTAAGAGTCATTAGTCTTCCTGACGCTTTTCTTTTAGCTTTGTGACATCCAATTTATTTGATCATTTACTTATCATACTTGGCCTGAAGTATGAATTTATCAAATTTGTCTGAATCTAAATAAAACTAAGAAACAAAATAAGAAAACAAAAAGTACAATTGACAGAGAACAAAAATGTTACTGAGCAGTTCCCATCGAAATGACATGGCCTCCCTCTGTCTTTTCTACAAATATTTTCATGGCAACTGTTTTGATGAGCTTAGTGCCTCAAGTACATGAATTTAAACATGCTACTAGATTAGCAACTAGGTCCCAACATATTACTGTTGAACTAACTAGATGCAACTGCCACTTCTATTCTAACAGTTTCTTTTCTCGTACTTCTCACCTGTGAAACTTCCCTGACACCTACAATCTTCAAAAATATAAATGCAATGTCAATCACCATCTTCTGTCTTCCAAAACTCTGTTTCTTTATTGTCCTTTCGTCACTTCTCACAAAAGTCTTCTTTTTCACTCCTTGTAACTCTCCTGCATCCTAGTTGCGTTATTGCCTTGCTTATGGGGAAATGATAAAAAGAAAGAAAAAAGGTGTTGAAATAAACATAACCTTACAGTGCAATTAGATGATTAAATACTTTAATTATCAAGTTATTATTTAACTCAAAGGGAAGGAAGCCCACACCAATACTGGAAAGAGCAGTAACAGCTACGAGACTCAATAAACTTATTTTCCTGAAAAATTATTTTAAGAGAAAGATTTTATAAATTTCAACCAACAGTAGCACTGACTGCTCAGTCAATGAATGCTGAAAGTTTCCTTATAAGGAAACTGTTAATATTACCATTACCAAAGAGTGATCCAAGATGGGATATATTTTACAGCTTTAGCTATTGTGGATTTTCTACTGGTGCAAGAAGTCAGTTTTCAAGCTCAGGTAAAAATCATAATTTCAGATGCTGATTATTGAGGCTACTTGAAATACTGGAATGACAATCAAACATAACTCCCTGTTTCGATTTTGTGCTAAACTTATTTAAGCTTACTAAATATTTGTGTTTATGTCTTCATTTGTTTACATAAATGAAAGAAAAAAGAGAAAGTACTTGGTATGACGATAAGATGTACTTTTAGAAAGAAAGAGAGATCCTAGTATAAAGATGGACTCAGAGAGAGAGACGGAGATCTTTGTAAAAAGATAAGATGGACTTTTAGAAAGAGAGAGAGAAAAGTAACAAAGTTAATAATTCAATTTTGTGCAAATGTTTGGGATGAGAAATTATTATAGCCTCTTCAGTAGGCTTAGTAAAGAAATGAATCATGTGAGAGTTTTTTTTTAATTAAAAAAGAAAGGAAGTTAGGATTAAAACTGAAAAACTCCACCTAATTACACTAATGTTAGTGTGAAAGGTCATATACCCTAGTTTAGGGAAAGAACAGATATTTACAATTAGGTTTAAAGTGTTAAATTTCCACCACCAGATTATCCTATGCATGTAGTGCGTTAACCAATCTGTATCAGTGACAAGTACAAATTAAACTGACCTCCTACTATTTTTACTAAAATCAAATGCAACAAAGACAACAACAAGAAGAGAAATAATCGAATAGGCAGATATAGGTTTTAACAAAAAATAATTTTATATAACAAGTACACACGGTATAATAAAGTTGTTTAAAACACATTAGAGTTCTTGGTTGTGTGATCAAGGTAATATAAAAGGTGTTATGCTATAGATCTGGTAATGAATTAAACAGTTTATGTTGATGGTGAAATTGAATGAAATAGATTGCTTGATTTACTGTAGAGTTGTCTCGCTTCGACTGATATAGTTGTGATTTCCTTTATGTTGTTAAGATATTGAGTGAGTTGGTTTATGAATCTTGTCTTGATTGAATTCGTCACTACATGAGTTGATGTTGAAATGAAATTGAATTCCACAAGTCTTGTTGATGTTAATAAAAATTAACTTTTAGCGAGGAAGTTGGGTCTCATGGATTCATGTGATGAGCTGATTATTTTAAGGACTTACTGACTAGGTCATGTCGAAGTTTCATATTTTGGATTTTCTTGATCATGTGGGAGGCTCGAGAGTATGTTTGCCAAATTTTGGTGCATTGAACTCTGAATAGGCCAACTCGAGGTCAACCGTGCGGACGTAGGCAGAAGCATGACATTATTATTTATGGACCAATCAGAAAACATTGTTTCGTACCGAACTCTGGAGCCGATTTTAATGGGTTCAGCACAAACTGAGAATACTTAGCTGTGATCCTCTTTTAACACGTTTAAAACAGAGAATGTAGAAATCTAATTCTAAATGCCCTTGCAGATAAAATTCTTGATAAATAGACATTTTTTTATTTCGGCCTATCCTTTAGGTTGGATAGTATATGTCATATATTCAAATTTATTAGAGACAAATAAGCAATAACCCAAGGAAGAATTTTCAAAGATATCTTCTAGCATAAACAGCAGAATGAGAACAGCCTATCTCCATGAATTAAATAAAGTGTTTTCATTCAATGTCCTTTGCTTAATTTGACCTGGTGCTAAACTAAATAACTTATTAACTAATTAATTTATATTTAATACTAGTATAGTCTTAAATGTATGAAACAAACCAGGGTATCTGTGCAGTGTTTAAGATATAAGTGTTACTCCTTGGATTTATGCTTAGGATCAAAGTTGTTGAGGACACCTTGGAGGGGCGTATAGAATATAGGATATGGCTAAAGCAAATAAAGAGGAGTCAAAGAGGCTCACAAACATTTAAAAATAAATGTGTAAATATGACAGGTCAACAAGAGGACAACAAAACAACATACTTAAATTAATACAAAATTTATTTACATAATATATATATATATATATATATATATATATATATATATATATACACACACACACAAAAAAGTAGTGTTTTGGTTGAACAAACAATGAAGCAAGTAAGTGGAGGAAGAATTAAGTAAATGGAGGAATACTGACTGGATAGAAGATCAAAGATAATATAACCATGACTAAATGTTAAAAGTAGAGCCCAGGTAAGTTGGCAGAAAACCCGAATTTTGAAAGTTCAGTTTATAAATGTCCAGTACTAGCATTGAATAGTTGCTGGTTCAGTTGAATGATGGACCTTCAATAGCATTTAACCCAAGTGTATGGAATAGGTTGTTTGAATTCTGAACGATATGCATACAACTTCCTAAACCAGGTGAGTTAGGTTGACAGGAAATGCTGGTGGTAGATAATGTCTGGTGATGTGCTGAATGACCCAAGTGAGTTAGGTTGAAAAGAAACACCAGAAGATAGGTAGTGCATTTACAATAAGCAGCTGAAGATAGGCCAAAATAGCTGTACTGTCTGGCACAGGCATTGTAATAAACCAAGTGAGCTAGGTTAAAATAAGAATGCCAAAAATGGTCTCTCCATGCGTAGCTGGAAGTAAAGAGATGTGGAGGATATTATATGTGCAAGTCCAGAAAAACTTAAGGGGCTGTTGCAGTCATTACATGAGCAGGTTCAGAAATGCAAGATTTTGGCTGTTGCAAGTGCTGGTCAGTGCAGGAATTAAAACTGGAAGTAGAAAGCTGATGTGGCTGGTGTATGTGCAAGTCAGAAATGGCCAAGTAAAATAATAATGCTGGAATTTAAGGGTCTGCGGTAGCTTAAAGTAATAAAGGCCAGGAATGCCAAAAGTAAGAATAGACAGGAAGGTTTTCAACTAGCATCCAGCTGTCAGGCAAAAATAAGTGGGCTGTAATTAACTTGATACAGAACCTGTCCAAGCACCCTGATCTCATTGGTTTGTTTACGTTAGTTTAGGTGCAATTTTTTAAGATTAAAAAAACACAATTCTATAAGATTTCTTCTTATAAAATCGATTTTATTGAACTTTATGGACATCAAAGTGTGAAATATTTCGAAATTGTCTCAATAGGTCTGTTAGAAACAGATATTAATGACTGTTTTGCTGACCAGGTGTACTATCTTTTCTTGAACTTTTTGAACTGCATTACAACAATTGCCATGAAAATATTTATAGAAAAGACAGAGGGCTGGAATATCACAGATATGGGAAAGTGGCTGAAGTTGAGATACCAGGATAGAACTGATAATCCTTCTTTGGATTTTGTTAAGAATTCTGAGATACAGCGGAAATAAGGCAGCAATATTCAATGATTGATAAATTAGCCATGTTTTCTGAATTCTGCTAGCTATTAATATTTAACTTTCGGAAGGTATTTAAAAGAAAAAAAAAAACACTTTTTCTGAACAATTAATGCAGTTATTATTTACTTTTTTTTGTCTAATTTTCTGCAGAAGAAAAGTTCAAATTAATGGAATGAAACCTGCAAAATATGGACATGAGAAGATAACTGTGTAAATAGAATAAAGTGAAAGCAAGAGAAAAGAAAGAGAAAAATAATTGCAGAAAGTTATTTGTCGAATTCTGCCAAATTTGGCAGAGTGGGTAGGAGTCACATTTCAGGAAAAAAGTGAGCAGGAACAAATTTTTTAAAGTATAAAACATCAAGAAATAGATTAAAGAGGAAAATCAGGAGAGCATTAAAATGTAAAAACAAAAATAATGAAAAGAGGCAGAAAAGAGAAATTGGAATGAACAAAAAATGAGACAAATATTAAAATGAAATATATGATACAAAAAAACTGACAAGTATATTTTTATAGGCAAAATTTTACATTCATTCTATATAAGTATAAATGTAAACAATTATGTTTATAAAAAAATGGAAGAAAAGAGAAAATTAATGAAAGAAAAAGGGAAAGGGAAAGGCCAAATGGGAAAAAGGGAAAGGTCAAATGGGAAAAGTAAAAGGGAAAAGCCAAATAGGAAAAAGTGAAAGGGAAAGGCCAAATGGGAAAAAGTGAAAGGGAAAGTCCGAATGGGAAAAAGTGAAAGGGAAAGGCCGAATGGGAAAAAGTGAAAGGGAAAGGCCGAATGGGAAAAAGTGAAAGGGAAAGGCCAAATGGGAAAAGTAAAAAAGGAAAGGCCAAATAGGAAAAGAAAGGAAAAGGCCGAATGGGAAAAAGTGAAAGGAAAGGCCAAATGGGAAAAAGTGAAAGGAAAGGGCGAATGGGAAAAAGAAGGGAAAGGCCAAATGGGAAAAAGGGAAAGGAAAGGCCAAATGGGAAAAAAGTGAAAATGGAAAGAACGAATGAAAAAAGGAAAGGAAAAGGCCAAAATGGAAAAAGGAAAGGAAAGGCCAAATGGGAAAAAGAGAAAGGAAAGGCTGAATGGGAAAAGTGAAAGGAAAGGCCAAATGGGAAAAGTGAAAGGGAAAAGCCGAATGGGAAAAAAGTGAAAGGGAAAGGCCAAATGGGAAAAAGTGAAAGGAAAGGCCAAATGGGAAAAAGTGAAAGGGAAAGAACGAATGGGAAAAAAGGAAAATGGAAAGAATGGGAAAAAAGTGAAAGGAAAAGAGAAAGGCCAAATGGGAAAAGTGAAAGGAAAGGCCAAATGGGAAAAAGTAAAGGAAAGAACGAATGGGAAAAAGTGAAAGGGAAAGGCCAAATGGGAAAAAGAAAAGGAAAAGGCCAAATGGAAAAGGGAAAGGAAAGGCCGAATGGGAAAAAAGAAAGGAAAGGCCAAATGGGAAAAAGGAAAGGGAAAGGCCAAATGGGAAAAGTGAAAGGAAAGGCCAACAGGAAAAAGTGAAAGGAAAAAGCCGAATGGGAAAATGAAAGGAAAGGCCAAATGGGAAAAAGTGAAAAGGGAAAGGCCGAATGGGAAAAAGGAAAGGGAAAGGCCAAATGGGAAAAGTAAAAGGAAAGGCCGAATGGGAAAAAAAAAGAAATGGAAAGAACGAATGGGAAAAAGTGAAAAATGAAAGAACGAATGGGAAAAAAGTGAAAGGAAAAGGAAAGGCCAAATGGGAAAAAGGAAAGGGAAAGGCCAAATGGGAAAAGTAAAAGGAAAGGCCAAATGGGAAAAGGAAAGGAAAATGCCGAATGGGAAAAAGTGAAAGGGAAAGGCCAAATGGGAAAAAGGAAAGGCCAAATGGGAAAAGTGAAAGGAAAGGCCAAATGGGAAAAAAGGAAAGGAAAAGCCGAATGGGAAAAAGTGAAAGGGAAAGGCCAAATGGGAAAAAGGAAAGGAAAGGCTGAATGGGAAAAAGTGAAAGGAAAGGCCAAATGGGAAAAAGTAAAAGGAAAGGCCAAATGGGAAAAAGTGAAAATGGAAAGAACGAATGGGAAAATGAAAGGAAAAGGAAAGGCCAAATGGGAAAAAAGTGAAAGGGAAAGGCCAAATGGGAAAAAGTGAAAGGGAAAGGCCAAATGGGAAAAAGTGAAAGGGAAAAGCTGAATGGGAAAAGGGAAAGGGAAAGGCCAAATGGGAAAGGAAAGGCTGAATGAGAAAAAGTGAAAGGAAAGGCCAAATGGGAAAAGTGAAAGGGAAAAGCTGAATGGGAAAAAGTGAAAGGAAAAGGCCAAATGGGAAAAAAGTGAAAGGAAAGGCCAAATGGGGAAAAAGTAAAAGGAAAGGCCAAATGGGAAAAGAAAGGAAAGGCCGAATGGAAAAAAAAGGAAAGGAAAGGCCAATGGGAAAAAGGGAAAGGCCAAATGGGAAAAAGTGAAAGGGAAAGGCCAAATGGGAAAAAGTGAAAGGGAAAAGCCAAATGGGAAAAAGTGAAAGGGAAAGGCCGAATGGGAAAAAAAGAAAGGAAAGGCCGAATGGGAAAAAAGTGAAAGGGAAAGGCCGAAGGGGAAAAAGTAAAAGGGAAAGGCCAAATGGGCAAAAGGGAAAGAATGGGAAAAAGTGAAAGGGAAAGGCCAAATGGGAAAAAGGGAAAGGGAAAAGCCGAATGGGAAAAAGTGAAAGGGAAAGGCCAAATGGGAAAAAGTGAAAGGGAAAGGCCAAATGGGAAAAAGTGAAAATGGAAAGAACGAATGGGAAAATGTGAAAGGAAAAGGGAAAGGCCAAATGGGAAAGAGTGAAAGGGAAAGTCCAAATGGGAAAAAGTGAAAGGGAAAGGCCAAATGGGAAAAAGTGAAAGGGAAAAGCTGAATGGGAAAAAGGGAAAGGGAAAGGCCAAATGGGAAAGGGGAAGTCCAAATGGGAAAAAGTGAAAGGGAAAGGCCAAATGGGAAAAAGTGAAAGGGAAAAGCTGAATGGGAAAAAGGGAAAGGGAAAGGCCAAATGGGAAAGGGAAAGGCCGAATGAGAAAAAGTGAAAGGGAAAGGCCAAATGGGAAAAAGTAAAAGGGAAAGGCCGAATGGGAAAAAGTGAAAATGGAAAGAACGAATGGGAAAAAGTGAAAGGAAAAGGCCGAATGGGAAAAAGTGAAATGGAAAGGCCAAATGGGAAAAAGTAAAAGGGAAAGGCCAAATGGGCAAAAGGGAAAGGGAAAGGCTGAATGGGAAAAAGTGAAAGGGAAAGGCCAAATGGAAAAAAGGGAAAGGGAAAAGCCGAATGGGAAAAAGTGAAAGGAAAGGCCAAATGGGGAAAGTGAAAGGGAAAGGCCAAATGGGGGAAAAGTGAAAAATGGAAAAGAACGAATGGGAAATGTGAAAGGAAAAGGAAAGGCCAAATGGGAAAGAGGAAAGGAAAGTCCAAATGGGAAAAGTGAAAGGGAAAGGCCAAATGGGAAAAGTGAAAGGAAAAAGCTGAATGGGAAAAAAAAGGAAAGGAAAGGCCAAATGGGAAAGGGAAAAGGCCAAATGGGAAAAAGTGAAAGGAAAAGCTGAATGGGAAAAAAAGGAAAGGGAAAGGCCAAATGGGAAAGGGAAAGGCCGAATGAGAAAAAGTGAAAGGGAAAGGCCAAATGGGAAAAAGTGAAAGGGAAAAGCTGAATGGGAAAAAGTGAAAGGGAAAGGCCAAATGGGAAAAAGTGAAAGGGAAAGGCCGAATGGGAAAAAGTGAAAGGGAAAGGCCAAATGGGAAAAAGTGAAAGGGAAAGGCCGAATGGGAAAAGGGAAAAGGAAAGGCCAAATGGGAAAAGTGAAAGGGAAAGGCCAAATGGGAAAAAGTGAAAGGGAAAGGCTGAATGGGAAAAAGGGAAAAGGAAAGGCCAAATGGGAAAAAGTGAAAGGGAAAGGCCAAATGGGAAAAAGTGAAAGGCAAAGGCCAAATGGGAAAAAATGAAAGGGAAAGGTTGAATGGATAAATTGAAAGTGGAAAAAAGAATGAAGTAGAAAGAAAAAGGGAATTCAGGATAAACTGAAGAAAAATGTGTAGATCAAAAACCGACTGATTAAATAAATATAGTTAATAAACTAAAAAGAATAAAGATATTTACATGCTACGTAATGAAGAATCAAATTATAGTTCAAAGAAAATAATTCCTGTAGGCAACGGAAGATTCTGATGCTTTATAGTTGGTGCTACATTAAGCACCAGCAAAACTTTAGAAAACTCCCAGACATATTGATAGGATAGTGGATAGTATATATATTTTTTTAGCTTTCCTAGTTTTTCTAAAGGTTTAAATGTTTTTATATATTTTTAATATTAATATCTTCATCTTTGTTGTCTTTAACACTGAATCTTGGCTGCTTTATTCTTTAAGATCTTACAAGTGTTTTCTTAAGATCTAATCCATACTATTCAGCATAAATGTTCTATTAAAAACAAAATGCATATATTCTGATCTTAATTGATTGGAAGTATTAATAGCTATTTGTTTTGTCATTATGAATTAAAATGAGCTACAGTAGATAACCCCATTCAGTGCCATAAATTTGCATGTCTCCTCGGGTTTGATGCAATGTGTGTCTTGGTTCATGACCAAGAGCAGAGGAGATGCATCATGGCTGAGTATCAAGAGGGAATTTTTTTTTTAACATTGAAGTGATATGGCCATATCACGTTGAAATATTGTTTCTTGTCTGATCACCAACATTGAACCTGGTCAGTACTTAGATGGGTGACCACTTAGGAATATTAGCACGTGTGGATGGTGAAATGGACAATATCTCAAAATGAGAAATTATGAGTTTGGGTTCCAGTCAAATTTGTTACATTCACCTATGTGAAAATACCCTTGAGAAAGCTATGAATCCATCTTTTCTCCTCCCCAGCTATGAGTTAAATAGCAGGACAGGCTGGAATACTTTTTCTAAGTCAATCATGAATCAAAAAGAGATATGATCACCCAAGTGTGTGTCATGCATGGCATCTAAGGAAGGAAGGTTGAATTAACAGGCAGCCATAATGACTTCGGAGTCACAGTTAGATACTTAGGAACACCTGCTATCAGCATGGATTAGGTTACCTGTCCTGAAGGAATTTCTAACTAGGCCCCACCTGCGAGTTTATGCAATGCTTTTATCAAACCTTATCATCACATAATGCACATTTGGCTGTGATACATGTACTTAGTATACCCTTATCAGACTGGACATCAATGATGGGGATATTGGACATTGTACCCAGCATCACTTTGATGGCATACTGCTCTCTTACTCAACAACAATGATCTGATGCAAAAATAATATTAAAAAAAATGTTTGAAACAAAGGTAAGAGAGTTTGTTTTTCACAGAAGCGATATACGGTTTGCATACATTCAAAAGTAAATCAAGAGAGATAATTTGAAATACTTAGCTTTCTTGGATTGTTGTTCAAAGTTCTTTGAAGTCCCAAGTGTTTGGTTAAGGCCGATAATATAATTAGCAAATAATTTGACACAAGTGAAAATCTGAATGCTGGACGTGTGAACAGAAATGAAACATTTCACATGATTTCAGAGACCCTTGTTGATTTAAAGGTTTTCCTTATTTTGTATAAAAAAGGATTTTGCATAGGCTTACTATTTTCTTTTCTTTCTTTTTCTAAGTTCAACAGCTAATTCCTGTGAAAACATGGTTTCCATTCGGCCAAAGAAAATTTCACATAGGCTCATGAATTTGTTTTTGTCTTTTTCCTCAGCTCACTCGAATTTGAATGGGGTAAGTGAAGGAAGTTATTATTATCTCATACTCACCACAAGCTCATCTAAACATCTGTCATGAAAATAGCAATAGAGTAGTGAGAGGGTAGCAATGATTTATCTGTGGAAAAGGAGTTATAAGGTGGAAAATAATTCATCACCCACAAGGCCAATTAAACACATTTGAACTTTGTTAAGGATGGAAGATAAGGATTGTGCTGCTTCAGTACTGATATATCAGCAATATTCAATTTTTTCTCTGATCTGACTCTTGTAAAGATAGAGTATGACAAAAGGAGTTGGGTACTTTCTGGTACATAGTATATACAAACAAAAATGAAATATCTTTGTATAATGATGATAATTAGTAACAATTGATGGAAAGAAATATTCAAATGCTTGAGGACCTTAAAATTCTTGTTATTACATTTGGTTCAAGAAATTTTCTCTTCAAGACTTTTTAGTCTGGCCTTTATCAGTGCCAACTCTACCTTTGCCAATTTATTGATTATTTCTTGTGTTGGCTTGGTGCTGTTGATTCAAAGTTTGCCACATTAATGGCTGCTAAGTCACAGACTCATATTTATTCTTCTGTGCACGTGCTATAAATCATGACAAGATGTCCCAGGGGATCAAAGATTGGGTTTCTAAAATGATTATAGACAAAAATAAATTAAACAAACAAAAACAAAGAAAACACAAGAAAAATTGCTTGTAAATTGCAGATATGACAGGAAGTTTAGAATTAACATCATTTTAATAACAAAATCTGAAATAACTTCTCAAAGAGAAAAATCTTGTTTTAGCACCAATACATTGCCTAAGGAGAATTATTCAAACTTGTGAAAAATCAGTTTGCCTGCCTGAATTTTCTGATAAATCATAATTCTTAAGTTAAGGATTGAATAAGTTCTTTGCATGTTCCATGACTATAAAATACCCGTGGAAATTTCTCTATTGTATTGTTAAATATTTGAGATTAAGAACTTTAACAAAATATTGCAATAACAATCATAAATATGAATGCAGGTCATTATTTAATATGTTGGCTCCCACACAACCCACTGGAAAATCATGGTGGTATGTTTGCAAGGCCCACATGACCCTCCAGTAGGCCGTTTTACAATTTCTTTTCTATGAGGATTATTGGGAGTGGGATGCTATGATCTCTTTCTTTTCTTCTGTTCTTTCTTACATTTGTGCATACTTTCTTTTCAATCACTAAAACCAAAATTATTATCCAAGGTAATCTTAGGCCAAAATGCATATGCTAACTTTCTAATGAAGGAATAAATCAGAATTATAATATGTGAAGCTAAAGCCTTCTCATTAAATACAAGCTCAGTAATTGTTAAACTGAGCATGTCTTTTCATTGTGTCATGATGAAGGGGAGGTTCTGTTATCTTCAGAAGAGCAAGTGTGATGTATAAAACCTGAAACTTGAAATAAAAACAACAGACATCATTGAATATTGTCTTGATGCATCTTTATAATAGACTTTTCAATTCAATTCCCAACTCAGTATTTATGCTGATAACATGACTATTTACTCCTGCTCTCAAAAATAACCTTCAACTGAGGCAAGAAACAGCTTGTAAATTTTAATGTTTTGAAAATAATACTGCTATCTTTTAATCATCATAGAGAACAAATTTTGCCTTCCATCAGCATGGCTGGTGCTAAATTCCAGGAGAACCTTCTTGGTTTCACATTTTCCACTGACATTAAGTCGAGTGATTATATTGAATCAATTGCTAGGTTTGCTGCCAGGAAGGTTGGTTCACTGTGTCATGACAGGCAATTTTTCTCATCAGAATCCATCTTGCATATTTATAAATTTACCATTCTTCTGCTTTCATCAATATCTGAATTTCTGAGATAAGTTACTATTATCATTCCATGAGTCTTTAAGTCTAATATTCTATTCATTGTTGGTCATGGCACTATGTTTCTCTTGAGGCAGTCTTCAACCTTCCTTAAATATAACAAAAGGTTTCTATTATAACAATATGGGTCATATATATCATATAACAATACAGGTAAATGCTCAGTTAAAATAGGACACCCATATAGTAAATAATTCTATCTGAGTCTGAAGTGTCTAGCATTTTTATGACCCACAGCAAAGTCTATGAAGTAAGATTGTCAAAGTATCCACCTACTAGAGCAAATGAAATAAAATAAATAGATAAATAAAAGATGACTTTCAAGAACACGTGCAACTTGGCCGGAAGATAGAAAGTTCTGCTCACAGGCTAATATAAATCTACAGTTAGAACTGAAGGTCATTCTGATACTGTCAGCTGGAGAATACAGACTGTTTGTCAAGTCAGATTTTCAGTTCACTTGTCTGAAAGGAGTTGCAGGCTGCACATTGTGATGTAGAGGTGAACAGAGGAATGATAAGAGAGTTGGATTTCCCAGCAACCTAAGAAGAGATCTTGTCTATTAGTCTGTCATGAGAGAACTAGCGTAGATATCCCAAGTGTCACCTATCTACCTGCCCCCAGACTGTACAAATGAATCCCAAAATAGACAATCGAATGTATTGGAAAACAGATTTGCATTTTCATTTCTCACCATCCTTGAGAACATATAAAAACCTTCCTCTGTTTTTGTGCACACTGATGTCAATGCTCCACCTTGCAACTCCTATCCCACAGACGAAACATCAACAGCTTTTCATTACTATATTGCTACTACTCTATGGCAGATGAGTTACATTCCTTAGTTTTGTGGGGTGGGGGGGTTCATTCATATTATAGCAGCAGAAAGAGCCACATGTTTGTGGGAAATAAATATACACAGAGATAACAGTAAATGTATGTTAAATTGTACATTAATATCATACAATTCATTTATCTTTTTTGTGTACTGATGTGTGTATTTTTGGTTACAAGTGTTTCATGGTTGCATGTGATAAAAGAAAGAAAGAAATGACTCCGTATTCTTAGACACAATGTCAGAGAGAGAAGTTGGGACATGTATTGTCCATCTGAAGGTTTGTAGCAAAAAAGATTGAATTCAACATCTTTTGGCGGGATGTCTAGATTTCTCTCAGGAACAGTTTCTATTGCATGCTGGGAGAACTTTTTTATTATTTTTATTTAATTTATTTTATACAAAGTTTTAATGTTACTGTTTTATTTTTATTTTATTTATAATTTCATTATTATTATTATTACTTTATAGTTTTATTTTTATTTATTTATAATGATAATGTCCCTGCAGTTCCACCAGCTTAGACATTCAAAGCTAGGACCCACCATACCATATTCATGGTGGCAAA